AAATGATAACTTTATAATATTATCATATAAAAAAATTGAAATACCATAAAAAAGGAAAAAGGAAAATAATGAACCTTTCTTCTAGAACCAAACCAGAAAAGGCCGGCACCTACCCACCCATCGTTGTTGGTTGGCCATTGCCAACCTACACAAACTATGGGCCACCACAGCTGCCACCACCACCTTAAACCACCAAATGCCTCCCACAAAAAAACCAAAGGGAAAATTGCAACCACGGTATCAAACTTTTCACTTTTTTGCAGACTTTACCCAAGCATTTGTTTTGTACCACCCATGGTACCAAACCTTTCAAAATGTAGCAGTTGGAGTCCAATGGATGGAAACCATCCATTTGACCGTTAGTTTACTGGAATGGTAAAAATTGAACAAATGTAATAAGGGCAAAATAGTAAATTTACAATTTTCACATAAAATAATTATAATAATTAGAAAAAACAAAAAACAAAAGATTATTTTCTTCTTCCTCAAACCCCCCACCCATTTTTCTCTTTCTCTCTCATACATTTTCCACTCTCACAAATCTGACAGCCACCGTCGTTAGATCGAAAGTTTCGAACCTCCGTCGCTGTCCCAATGGAGGAGGCCTTCTTTCCCCACCCCCACCCCTTCTACACCCACTTCGAGTCTTCCTCTAAATCTTCTTCCTCTCCGTCTTCAGACTCCACCAGTGATTCGCTGTCTGAGTCGTCATCCTCAGACTCTTAAATTGGCTCTACATCTGATGGTTCATAACCTTGGTCTTAGTCTTCGGAGTTGTCTGAATCTGAGTCAGTAGCTTCCAGATTCAGAAATTCCCAGCCACCGTCCTCTAGAAATTTCTATGGATCGTCAGTGATGGTCTTCAATATTGGACGCCAACACTATCCATCGACAAATATTAGCCATCAGCCGTTGTCCCAATGGAGGAGGCCTTCTTCCCAATATGAGGAAATGTGTTTGGTGGAGACAAAGAGGAGTAAGAGTGGAATGATGAGAATGGAAAAGCGCGCAGTGGGGATTGTGGAGAAGATGGTAGAGGTAGAGAAGATTAGTCATTTTAGGAAATGGTTTGGTATTGATTTGAATATTAGGGATTTATTTCTGGATCATCCCAGGATGTTCTATTTGTTAACCAAATGGAAGAGGCAACGATGGCAGCTGAAGCGTTGTCTGCGGAGGTTGTGGGCAGCAGCGTTAGGATGGTAGGGGAGGGTGTAGAAGGAGATGACTAGGGGTGGGGGAAGAAAAGAAGATGAAAAGTAGTTTTGTTTTTTTTAATTTAATTCTTTTAATTTAATTTTTTTCAAATAAAAAATGTAAAATTACATATTTAACCTTTAAATTGGTGAAATATTTAATTATTGGTAAACTAACGGTCAAATTAATGGTTTCTATCAATTTGGACTTCGGGTGCGAATTGTTTAAAGGATTGACAACGTGGGTGGCACAAATCAAATGTTTGGGCAAAGTCTGCAAAAAAGTGAAATGTTTGGTACCGTGGCTGCTATTTTCNTCAATTTGGACTTCGGGTGCGAATTGTTTAAAGGTTTGATACTGTGGGTGGTAAAAAACAAAGGTTTGGGCAAAGTCTGCAAAAAAAGTGAAATGTTTGGTACCATGACTGTAATTTTTCCAAATCAAACATGAAAAAAGGTAAAAATTGTGGGCCTAGTCGAAACGGAGCTCCAGCTTGCTATGTTTATGAAAATGCATTTAAAGCTAATCTTCGATTTCAGAGCTCTGTCGTCGAGACATTGCATGAGGCTACATGGGCTTGCCTAGGTAGGTTCCTCTCCAATTCTTTACTCATATCGAATTTCTCATCCTTCAACACAAAACAAAAAGTCAAGTTATTCCTCCTTTTACACCTCAAAATCTTGTAAAATTTTTGAACGGAGGGAGTGAATAGTTTAGTGGGCTTCGAACCGAGAAAAATAATGATTCTTAGAGAACAATCGACGATGTTGATTAAAATTTCAACCATCTTTTGGAAGATGAGAGTGAGATAATAGGGTGAAGACAAGGAAGAAGGTTTTTGGAAAAGTAAATTAGCCTCGTTAGGGTTTTGGGAATGAGAATTATGGTAATAGGTGGTGGTTGCGAAATAGAATAGGGTTTTGCAGGGTTGGGTGGAGGCTGTGACGGAGAAGAGAGAGAAAGGAGAAGAGGAAGAATTGGGGTAGCCATTTTACGCGTTACATAGAGAGAGGGTGTGCGTGAGAGATAGCGACTTGATGATAAAGAAAATTGTATGGCCAATCGACGACCAGTGTGTGGGAGCCTTTTCTGGTTTGGTCCTGGAAGGAGGGTTCATCATTTTCCTTTTCCTTTTTTCTTCATGGCTTCTTTAGTTATTTTAATTATTTTATATGGTAATATTATGAAGTTACCATTTTATCCTCCACTTAATTGGTAAACAAAAAAGTCAAATTTTGTTTTCTTGGTCAACCAACAACAAATTGCAATGTTTTTAAAGGTTTGAAATGACTGTTGTAACAAATGAAAGATTAAAATAAAATCCGTAATGTTTTTAAAGGTTTGAGAGCGCAGTTGCAATTATTGCAAATTAATATGACTTTTGAAAACTTTACAAATTCACTTGGATTAGAGTGACATCAAAAAGTTCTCACATAGAAGTTGAAGAATCGTTCTCTATCCCCTTCCCTCTCCCCATAAAACAAAAAAATATTTTTAAAAGAATAAAGAAAATTAAGTCACCTTAATTACACAAATAAATAATAAAATATAAATATATAAGATATTTCAAAATATAGAAATATTTATCAATATGTCAGAACTTTGATAAATAAATAATTAATCAAGATATTTAGAATTTAATTATAAACTAGTCTTTTTTATACAAAATTTTATAAAATGTAAGTACGAATTGATCTTTTACATAAACAATTGAATACAAAAAAGAAAAAAATTATAAATTTTTTATTTATAACTTAATCTTTTTCGTAAAAAATGGAGAGAAACAATAAAAGGAAAAAGAAAACATGAAGTTTTAGAGAATTTCGGGGTGAATGAGAAAAAACTTCTGAGATTTTACTATTGTACTTTCTACTAAAAGCTGAGATTTCAAAATTATTAACATTTTGAGTACTTCATGACTTCTAAATTTATATATATATATATATATTGAATATCATTAAGTTTTATAAATCCTTAAAAATCTTTAAAACTTTTAATTGAAAGCACCCTGAGTTTATTGACCAATGGGAAAGATCGAGTACCTGAACTTTTAATCTAGGGAAAATTGCGGCAACGGTACCAAACCTTTCACTTTTTTGCAGACTTTGCCTAAACCTTTGTTTTGTACCACCTACGGTACCAAACCTTTCAAAATGTAGCAATTGGAGTCCAAATAGATGGAAACCATCTATTTGACCGTTAGTTGACCGGAATAATAAAAATTGAACAAATGTAATAAGGGCAAAATAGTAAATTTACAATTTTCATATAAAATAATTATAATAATTAGAAAAAACAAAAAACAAAAGATTATTTTCTTCTTCCTCAAACCCCCCACCTAATTTTTTCTTTCTCTCTCACACATTTCCCATTCCCACAGATCTGACAGCCACCGTCGCCAGATCGGAAGTTTCGAACCTCCGCCGCTATCCCAATGGAGGAGGCCTTCTTCCCCCACCCCCACCCCTTCTACACCGACTTCGAGTCTTCCTCCGAATCTTCTTCCTCTCCGTCTTCAGACTCCACCAGTGATTCGCTGTCTGAGTCGTCATCCTCAGACTCTGAAATTGGCTCTGCATCTGATGGCTCATAACCTTGGTCTGAGTCTTCCGAGTTGTCTGAATCTGAGTCAGAAGCTTACAGATTCAGAAATTCTCAGCCACCGTCCTCTAGAAATTTCTATGGATCGTCAATGATGGTCTTTAATATTGGACGCCAACACTATCCATCGACAAATATCAGCCATATGTCGTTGTCCCAATGGAGAGGCCTTCTTCCCAATATGATGAAATGGGTTTGGTGGAGACAAAGAGGAGTAAGAGTGGAATGATAAGAATGGAAAAGCGGGCAGTGGGGATTGTGCATGAGTTCTTGAGCTTGACTGTGGAGAAGATGGTGGAGGTAGAGAAGATTAGTCATTTTAGGAAATGGTTTGGTATTGATTTGAATATTAGGGATTTGTATCTGGATCATCCCGGGATGTTCTATTTGTCGACCAAAGGAAAGAGGCAACAGCGGCAGCTGAAGCGTTGTCTGCGGAGGTTGTGGGCGGCAGCTTTAAGATGGTAGGGGAGGGTGTAGAAGGAGATGATTGGGGGTAGGGGAAGAATTTGAATAGTAGTTTGATTTTTTAATTTAATTCTTTTAATTTAATTTTTTTTCATACGAAAAATGTAAAATTACATATTTAACCTTTAATAATTGGTCAAACATTTAATTATTGGTCAACTAACGGTCAAACTAACGATTTCTGTCAATTTGGACTTTGGGTGCGAATTGTTTAAAGGTTTGGTACCGTGGGTGGTATAAAACAAAATGTTTGGGCATATTCTGCAAAAAAGTGAAAGATTTGGTATTGCGACTACAATTTTCCCTTTAATCTATATTTAAATACAACACATTGTTTTTTATTAGGAAAATTGTAGCCACTGTACCAAACCTTTAAACAACTCGCACCCGGAGTCCAATTTGATAGAAACCTTTAATTTGAACGTTAGTTGACCAAAAATCGAAAGTCTGAACAATTGTCGACTAATTTTTAAAGGACAAATAGGTAAATTTACCTTTTTATATAAAAAAATTTAAAAAAAAAAAAACCCTAATCATCTTCTTCTCCATCTACCCCACACATACCCACCCCCACTGCCATCTTCTCTAATTACCAAATCAATGGAAACCCAATTGTAGCAATCAATTAACCTTAAATACTCACAATACAATTTGAAGATTAAGGTTGTCTCTAGGGAAGGTTGTTTCATCCTTATCGATATCACGAACCTCAGCCTTAACAGAAAATCCCTTACCTAACCGCTGCTCCACAATCCTCTTCCGAGTACTTTAGTGGCACCTGCAAAAAAGATTTTCCCACTTGTTCTTCCTTTGTAATCTCGCTTCCCTGGATCTGTAACTTTTAAGATGAACTTAGTGGTGGCAATGGGTCGAGTCGGTCGTATACGCACGAGCTCGGCTCTGCTCGTTACTCTTGGGTCGAGCTCGATTTTTTTAATTTTTTTTAACTATACCTGTTCTAAACCTTAAAAAAACTAAAAAAAAAAACCCACGTGCCGCTCGTCAAAAAAGAGCCAGTCTACTTGACTCGGGTTTGGGCTCGTCTTTTGACGAGCCAGAGCGGCTCACGGTCGCTCAACACGATTGCTACCTCTAGATGAACTCAACTTAAGTCAATAAAACGAAATCAAGAAAAGGGGGAATCAAATGTATGTTAAAATTGAGAAAAAAGTTAGAGATAAGAAAAAGGAGAGATACTTACAGATGAAGCTTTGAGGTGAAAGTAATTAGATTTTTGAGTGGATACTGAGAAGTGAAAGAGAGAGGTTCTCAAAAAGCGTGTAGAAATGGGAGTGGATGTGGCCATGGCCTTCCTATTTTCTTTTGGGTTAATTGATAGCTATAATTGGGTTTCCATTGATTTGGTAATTAGAGGAGATGGGGGTGGGGGTGTGTAAAGTGGATGGAGAAGAAGATGATTGGGTTTTTTTCTTTAAATTCTTTTATTTTAATTTTTTTATATATAAAATATGTAAAGTTACCCATTTGACCTTTAAAAATTAGTTAACAACTGGTCAAACCTTTGATTTTTGGTCAAACTAATGATTTATGTCAATTTGGACTCCGGGTGCGAGTTGTTTAAATGTTTAGTACCGTGGATAACACAAATGAAATATTTGTGCAAAGTCTGCAACTAAATGAAATGTTTGATACTGTGACTACAATTTTCACTTTTGATTATTTTTCTTGTTCAAAAATAAGACAACGTATCCAACTCCTTCTACATTGTTCTTTGCCTCGATTCCAACTTAATAAAGTCTTTTATTATTTTGCATTAATAAGATTACGCGTTAATCATATTTGATGCTTTGGTCAACAAAAGAACTAAATGCATAAATAATGAAATAGTGTGCAAGTCAATAAAAAGTAAAAGAAAAAGATTATCGTTTTCCATACTTGTCACATGAGGTTCTCTATATAGATTATAGAGTGATATACAAGCTAGTATTTTGTTAATTGATGAGTAGAAAACCTAAAATGTGAATATGTTAATTTGTAACCAGGAATGAGTTAAATTGTAGAGAACAATACATAATTCCTTATTTTAAAGATCACATTTCATAAATAACAAACTTAAAAAAAAATTTCAAAAATCAGGT